CATTTACAATGTGATCACCAGTTACTTCTGTTTCAAGATAATTATATAGATTTAATAGCTTATGCTGTACATCCATTTTTGAGGAATGACAATTGTGACATGCATTAAAAAATCACAAGGCTTCAGAAATTGAAACTTAACTTCAAATTATGTTGCAATAAAACAATTATAAAATTGAAAAATAGGACTCAAAACATCATGCTTACCTTAAAAAAAACTTTTCTCTCCAATTTGTGTATTTTTATTACTTCTCTCATGAAACAATGTGATAGTGATGTAACACAGAATTCTAATGTAATCAGAAAACATGTACACAACCCTACCCCATTAAAGCATATTAAAAAGAGGGGGGGAAACCCAATCCAACACTGGAATTCTACCATGATAAATACATTTTGTACTTGTAAGTACATAAAGCAATACTTTATCATGGTGGCCAATGGAATGAACTGTAAAATGGCATTAAACAAGCTAGTACTGGACATCTGTGTCCTATTTACATACAACAGTTAAATAAAGTCAAATAAAGTACACTGAAATTTACAATTTTTCTAAGACTGAAAAGTGGACTCAAAATGGTATACAGAACAGACTATCAAAATGTTTTTTTTTAAATTCCAGGAGTAAATAAGCACACCTGATAACACAAATTAATATACATTAGATTCTGTGCTATCAAACAAATTTTGATATACTTGTAATAGGGATTTGCTGCACATTACAATAATTCTCATTTCATATCCTCTTAGAATAGAAAGAATATTTAACAGCCGTGCAGACTACTCAACCTTTTAGTTTATAAAGTTTTTTTAAAAAAATTCAAAGTTAACATGATTCTATTAGGAAACAATATTTTTAACAGATTGTAAAGCATAATTATAAAATATTTGATGTACTTCATCTACAACAAAAATTAATTAGCATTATCTAATTGCCATCTGTATTAAATATATTGTCAATTTGATTCTGATGTTTTAAAGTCAGATATATCAGTAGAGAATATTTTAAATAAGAGATACAAAATGATACAAAATAAGTCCAACTAATATTTAAAGTGTGTTAAATCTTTAC